AGCAGGCTGCCGGCCGGCCAATGGCCGGCCGCTCAGCCAGCTTCGGCTCTCAGCGCGGCTCAGCCAAGCCGAGGCATATGCGTTTGGCTCAACTGAGCCGCTCGGCCAAGTTCGGGAGCTGCACGGGCTATAGTGAATAGCCCGTACAGCAGCGCTGAACCGAAGGGGTCCTGGGCCCGAAGCTAGCCGAAGGATTGGCCGAAGCTACGACTAGATCCTTCGGCTGCTTCGTGAATAGACCCCAATGTCAAACCTTTTACAGTATCTAAGAATCTAATATGCATTTAGCATTAGTCTTTCCTATACTTCACTTATTATTGACTTTCATTACAGGTGGCATTGCTAACCATGGCTGCAATCAGTCCTGTGTCACGTGACAGCAATCTGTACTGGTATAAAGGATTCTGTTTTATAAAGGATATGATGTCAACAGAGTTTATAGATTCACTGAAGGACTTTAAAATAAGAGATGATGATGTTTTCTTGATTACATATCCAAAATCAGGTGAGTTTAATGCCACTTACAATAACACATTGTAAATGTTAATTCAGAATCAGTCACACATATTTCAGTGTTTAAAAAAGTCCTATGTGGGGGTTCACAAAGTAGAAGCCTATTGAACACCCATTCAGAAGGGCCCACGCATAACATATTTGTGTAATTGGGGTACCATTCCATTTACACCATCCTCTACCTGCAATGTAAAATGGGGCCCTGCCTTAAAGGAGAACTATGGGGTCAGGGCTTTTCCCCATTGTTCTCCTTAGGGTAACGGGAGGACACAAACTAGCGTCCTCCCGTCACCCTAGGCTCAGTATACCATGAGCTACAGCTCGCAGTATACTGAGACTCCGCCCAGCTGCGTGAGTGACAGCTGGCTCTGCCTATCTAGAGGCAGAGCCAGCTGTACCCGCCCCCTCCCCCATCCGCTCTGCCAGTCATCGCTGGCGGATCGGAGTGGGGAGAGGGGAATCCAGCCCCTCCCCTGTCACGGCAGAGAGCCGTGACAGGATCGAGAGGTGAGCGAACGCCGGTATGTGTTCCCTCCCCTCCCGATCTACTGAGCCGACCTGTGACAGTCTCATTGTCACAGGTCGGCTAGAACTATGAGGTGAGTGAAAAGCACTCACCTCATAGTTCTCCTTTAAAGTGAAAGGGAGATTTACCTCACTATATGTCCTGGTTACCATTATCACTGAAAGTGAGAGAAAATCACAAATTTTGGGTTGTCACCAGAACAGGAATAGATGGGGCATTTTCAATTGGGGACACTAGTTTTGGTGATCCTGCTCACTTGCTGTTTTGGCTATCAGATAGGAAATTAAAGGAAATCTCCCCAGAGGGACACAGATGGCAGAAAAAGCTGACAGGGTTAAAACTCTCCCTTACTCTATCCAAAACTAAAAAAAAAAAGGTTTTGGCTTTGGTTGTACTTTAAAGTTCAGTTACACTTATAATGTTCCCTGGCCCACCCCCAGTCCCCCAAAAGTCTTATATTCACCTGTCAATGATGCAGCCCACAAAGCCGCTGAGCCACTTGCCAGAATCTTCTTAGCCTGGCCTACTTACGGGGCTGTACACTTTCTATTCAAGTTTATGGAGACTTTGTTCTTTGGCATTCTTTTTTTTTCATTTGATTAACCCCAAAGATTTCTAATGACCAGTTTGTTTTACTAAAGCACGCAATGTGAAGCAATGTGTTATGAAATAACATGAATTGTTTAATCAAGCCAGTGGTTAAACATGTTAGTGAACGATAGCTGAACGAAGTCCACACTTCAATATGATAAGCAAAATTCTGAAACACTCGTTAAAGCAGATAAATATGCCTACACAGGCATTTTTGTAGAACTGTGCATGTGTTTTTTTCATAGAAAACTAACAATCAAATCAATGTGATTTAAAAATTACTGTTTTTGAAACAGAAGCTCCCAATACCCTAAAGGTTGCAAACTTTGTTTTGCAAAATCTGTATATTATTCACATATTCATAAATAATTTATTTATTTAACACCAACAAGATATGTTGTGCTTTACAAGGTGACAATTTACAAAAAAAGGGGCAGAGTGCACATTATATGACACAAAGAAAAGAGGCAATGTTCTTTGACCACAGGCACTTTCAATGTAAACAGTACAATGAAGCACGGACATGTTAGAAATATAAGGCTGGATTCACATTCTCATGTAGCAGTACCATGTGATAAAACACAAGTTTTGCTGCCTGTTGATGCAAGACAGCAGACTTGCGTTTTAGCAATACAATGCATAGATGTAAATCATCAGTAAGTTTTGTTTTTATATATTTATTATTGGTATTTGTATTGCACCAACAATTTTTCTACACATTAGTCCCTGCCCTCAAGGATCTTACAATCTAAGGTCCCTATCTCACATGCATACATATAAGGGCCAGAAACCACTGTCCTTATCAGACTGTGGGAGGAAACCGGAGTAATGGAGGAAACCCACACAAGCACAGGGAGAACATGCAAACTCCTTGTAGATAGTGACCTAGCCAGGATTCAAACCAGGGACCCCCAGTGCTACAAGGCAGAAGCCCTAATCACTACACCACTGTGATGCCCCGGACATCAAAACATGTCCCCAGGATATGTTTTGATGTCCTGGAAAAATAGAGTTACAGGTGTATTAAAAGAATCATTATGGGCTGTTGGCAGCTCTTTCAAAATGAAGGGGCTGCCTTACTGTAAATAGCATGCATGGCAGAGAAGTGAAACAAGCCTTAAGTGCAGATCCAGAAAAAGGGCCTCATATAGAACCTTCAAATATTTAGGTTTTTGTTAGAGATAAGCCTTTATATGGGTTTTTATGGTAGCAAGTTATTGTGCATCTGGTAGGACACAGTTGTGGATTTAAAAATGTTAGCAGAAGACAGCAGTATACCATGAGGTTAATGGAGGTGCCTAATTGTAGCAATGTAACTAATACATCCTATCTGTGAGAAGGAGTTGCTGGCTGTTTACCTTCTCTAATATGCCAGCAAATTACTACCTTCTCTTTTGTTCATCCATGGAAACCCTCAGCCCAGAAAGGCATGCTTTTCTAAGGCCCCATGCAGACCTACTCGATCCGAGGTCGCGCGCCCCAGGATCGCGCGGTCCTGCACAATGCAGGCAGCGTTTGCCACGCAGCCCCATTGATTTCAATGGAGTGACATCCGTGTGGTAATCGCAGAAAAAAAGGTACATGTACCTTTTTTTTGCGACACACGACTCGCGGCTTGTCCCTGTGCCGATGGGGACAAGGGCCTCTTCCCCACAAGTCCTGGGGCATTGGTTGTGGGGTTCTGCCGGGGTGCTTATTTGCATCGGGGTACCCTCTTTAACAAAGGGGGCACCAGATGCTGCCCCCCCCCTTGTGAATGAGTAAGGGGTACTTGTACCCCTACTCACTCACTAAAGGGTTAACAGTGGAATGTAAAGAAACACACCAGACTTTAATAAAAAACCCAGACTACAATACAATCTACTGTTTCTATTGGCTTTGTTAAGGAATCATGTAGTGTGGGGGCTCAAATGCATGATCACTTTACAATGTGTACCAGAGAAAAAGTTATGCCCTGTAATATTTAAGAGATAAAGGGATGTTATTGCATATGTACAAATAAATTAATTTATTTCCCTTTCACATTAAAAGGAACCATTTGGACTCAGCAAATATTAAGCTTAATATGCAGTGAAGGACACCGAAATGGTACTGAAAAAATTGACACTAATGACAGAGTGCCATGGCTTGAGTTCAGAACAATAAATGCTTATGAAGATTACAACATTCGTCCTTCACCTCGTATGTTTGTATCCCATTTGTCAGAAACATTTGTTCCACGAGGACTGAAAAATAAAAAGGCAAAAGTAAGTAGCACCATTATGGGCTGATGATGTCACAGGAATATGATATTAGCTAATGTCATCTGTCACAATGTAAAAACTTCTCTATGAGACCTCTCTGACTGTAGCGTCCCTCTTCAATCCCAGTTGGAACACATGTTCTGGAGAACCACCCCACTCATTGTAAACTTGGGAGCTGGAGTGATGGAGAATGGTAATGTTCTTCAGAGACTTCACACAGAGAACTCTGGCCACAAAAATGTTCAATATATATATATA